CAATACTCTTCTATAATTAAAAGTTTTTCTTCAATATTTTATATTTCATTGATATAAAATATTGAAGAAAAACTTTTAATTATAGAAAAGTATTGTCTTATTATTATATTTGGGCATTCTTATATACGGACGCTCCTGAGACAAATCGTCGCGCTCCTTAGTTACGCGTATCTGGCGACTCGTTGCTAACGCACGAGCGGTGAGTGGGGGGCAATAGGCGTGAGCCACGGAATCGGGCCGAAATGTGCAAGTAAATCCTAGCACTGAACTATATAAAAGAGACTAATAAGCTAATCATACTTTTTTTTTCAGACAACAGCCACCTCGCGCGCTAATGGCTGCCCCAGCACATCCACCGCCGCAGATGATGCAGGGCGGTCCGATGATGCCACCACCGGGTATGGCGCCGCCCCCACCATGGAGCCAAGGTGGCGAAGGGATGAATAACATGAACATGCAATGGCAGCCGCCGGTGAGTATGCCACCGCCACCAGGTGTGATGCAACCGCCTCCGCCACCGCCTGGTTCTACCACGCAGCCCAACATTCCACCATTAATGCCGTGGATGGCCGGCAACAATCAGCCACCGCCGCCGGGCCAGATGCCACCCACGCAGATTCCGCCACCCGGGATGGGCATACCGCCGTGGCAGCAGGGTCAACAGGGACCGATGCGACCGCCACCGCCAGGCACGGCGCCGCCTCCGGGATTCCCAGGCGGATGGCAGCCACAACAGATGGGTGGCTGGCCGCCAGCCGCCCCAGTCCCACCCCCGCCTCAACAACAAACACCAGCACCGCCCGGAATTGACCTGAACACGCTGCCGACGTTGCTGGCGCAGCCGCCACCGCCACCTCCGCCCACCAGTTAGTCCTAATCGCGTAATGAGTGAATGACTTCCGATTCTGTACATTAGCGAGATAATATCGATCGCGATTGATGGACGAAAGTTAAAAAAAAAGGAGTCTGGAAAAGGTATTGTGTCCAAATAGAGTATCGTAAAAGAAGATAAGGATAAAACAAGAAACTAGAACCAAACGATGAAATTATATTGCAACTTTGATTTGAATCATCAGTTTTGAATTTTTTCTTTCAAATGGTGTTGTTTTGATACGAGGTTATCAAAATCCTGATCATTAAGAAAGAAAAAGAGAGTTTTGTGAATTATGTACTTTGGGACAGTGGATAATGTGTCGATAAATATGCCGGACAGTGGACAGACAACATGTCGATAAATATGCCGGAAACGTAAATCATACTAGAACCAAACGATGAAATTATATTGCAACTTTGATTTGAATCATCAGTTTTGAATTTTTTCTTTCAAATGGTGTTGTTTTGATACGAGGTTATCAAAATCCTGATCATTAAGAAAGAAAAAGAGAGTTTTGTGAATTATGTACTTTGGGACAGTGGACAGCAACATGTCGATAAATATGCCGGACAGTGGACAGACAACATGTCGATAAATATGCCGGAAACGTAAATCATATGCGTCAATGGAATATTTAGTTTTAACTAGATACCAATTTTAACTTGCTGCATGTAAGAAATTCTGTTAATATTATGAGACAACGCACGCGAATTTTCTCATAAGAGCACAAGTGTAGCCGATTCTATATTTTTTTTTTTTACTTTATTCCATTTCCGAATATTGCTTCCGAAATCAAATCTATCAATGTTGAAGAATTGTAACATAGGAAAAAAAAAACATTTGTTCATATATTTTATTTATATATAAGTAACATGCGCACGCGTAAAAGGTTATATATGTATAATTCATAATTCTTAGCGTGAATTGATATTCGATGATATTTTTTTCAATGATAATGATGAAATTGCAGAAACCTTTGCAACATTTTCATATTTTGAAATATGGCAATTTATTTGCAAATTGGACATACAAATTTCAGACCTTTTGAATCTTTATGCATAAGGCTCTTTTATTCTGGTACTTTAATCAACTTGTAATAAAACCATGCAAATTAGTCGAAGCAGTCGCGTGCTAGACAAATTTATGGACGATATAGGACAAAGATTGAGACACTGGCGACTTTAAATTTTTAGTCCAATCGTGTATCACCATCCAAATTATTGCTTCCGTAGCATGTATGACATAATCTTTGATCGTAAAATGTTATTCGGATTATATATATACATTTATTAAAATAGTCATGATTATGTTACATTATCAAGAAATGAAGGAATTTCCTCGCTGCTAAAATTTAAATTGACAAACAAAAATTATCGCATCAATCTCTAATTTCGCGAGTGACATTTTTCTTTTATAGATAAATAGATAAAGAAATTTTGCCCGTTATTATTGTCATGACAGTTGGCATTCAAACGCCATTCCAAGTGTAATAATTAGCGTAATTTTTATATGTTATCCACGTGTTAAAACAAATCAAATCACCAAACTTCAAATTGCATATTGCTTTATATATATGCTAAAATTAGTATTACCTATTATATGAAATGTATGATGAATTAAATTGTAGAGAAATATGTTAGGTTGCTTGGTATGTATTCTGATTACATAATAAAAATATGTATGAAACAAAAAATCTATATATATATATACATATACATATATTATACATATATACACCCACACACAAAAAAAATGAGACACTAGCGAAAAAAAATTAATAATCCAATCGTGTATCACCATCCAAATTATTGCTTCCGTAGCATGTATGACATAATCTTTGATCGTAAAATGTTATTCGGATTATATATATACATTTATTAAAATAGTCATGATTATGTTACATTATCAAGAAATGAAGGAGATTTCCTCGCTGCTAAAATTTAAATTGACAAACAAAAATTATCGCATCAATCTCTAATTTCGCGAGTGACATTTTTCTTTTATAGATAAATAGATAAAGAAATTTTGCCCGTTATTATTGTCATGACAGTTGGCATTCAAACGCCATTCCAAGTGTAATAATTAGCGTAATTTTTATATGTTATCCACGTGTTAAAACAAATCAAATCACCAAACTTCAAATTGCATATTGCTTTATATATATGCTAAAATTAGTATTACCTATTATATGAAATGTATGATGAATTAAATTGTAGAGAAATATGTTAGGTTGCTTGGTATGTATTCTGATTACATAATAAAAATATGTATGAAACAAAAAATATATATATATATATATATATATTATGTATTGCATGGGAAATTTTCTTTCGTTTCTTATATTCTTGCATAATTATATATACATTATATCAAATTCTAATTTTTTGTTTGTGAAAATGTAATTTTAGATATTTTTCTTATGTGTAATAGGAACGCTATTTCATTCAACAAAACTTTTCATAATAATAGACATTATATTACAATATTATATCTACAAGTTATATCGTATTGATACAGCATAAATATATATTTTACAGATATCTAATGATCTTTGATCTTCTTCTCTTCTGGATAGGTTTTATAATACCATTCCTCATATTCGTCCTTCATCTGTTCACGACGTGCAAAATATTTCGGATACCTAGCTTTCTCTAGGGGATGCCAAAAATCTAAGACCCAGTCTGGAGTCTCGCCTTTTCGGCCGTATGCTCCTCCTGTGGCTGAATTGGCGAACGTCTTTGGTTGGAAATGCATCTTGGAGAAAAGTTCTTTTTCTCCTTCTTGTAATAGATATGTTGCATAACGCATGTCTTTTATATCTTTGTTTTTATCAAAACGGTCTCTCATTAATACAGCCTGGATTCTGTAGAGTAAAATATAAAATTCATATATGTAATTATAAGAGAATATAATTGTAATGACTACATTATTAATTTATTGTAGATCGATTCAAATTAAAATAGTAATATAGCTGAGTAAAATTACATTTGTTTTATTTTTTTATTGAGTAATTTATGAATTGCAATTATCTGCAAGGTAGATTAAGTCTTCGCTTTAATTGTACTTTGTACACATTATATGTCATTACTTGTTTTTTTCTTTAGAATCTGAATTTGTTTTATTTTAAGCATCTAAAGTACAGCATTATATATGAACGTGCGTGCGCACATACACACACACTGACACATTGGCTGTCAACCGATGTCACATACCTGTAATCATGCGTTCTATGATACCAATCTCCCAAGCAACGAAGTGCACGCTTATACAAGCTACATACTTTCTGCGAATGCGGCACAAGCTCCGAGGGAATATGTGCCATGTCGTTTTTATGTAAAGAGATCGCACAATTCTCTCTCAAAAACGCTTTCTCGAAATGTATGTGAGATTACATGAACGTAACAAAGCATGAATCACCTAAAACAACAAGTAGATCTGCCGAATGTTTATTAGCAGACGACACAACGCAACTGACATCTTGTGAAAAGCAATAGACTTAACGCGATAACCAATCAAATTATAACTTTACGAAATTTTTGGTATGCGTTGTCGCGTCCACACACACTGACACATTGGCTGTCAACCGATGTCACATACCTGTAATCATGCGTTCTATGATACCAATCTCCCAAGCAACGAAGTGCACGCTTATACAAGCTACATACTTTCTGCGAATGCGGCACAAGCTCCGAGGGAATATGTGCCATGTCGTTTTTATGTAAAGAGATCGCACAATTCTCTCTCAAAAACGCTTTCTCGAAATGTATGTGAGATTACATGAACGTAACAAAGCATGAATCACCTAAAACAACAAGTAGATCTGCCGAATGTTTATTAGCAGACGACACAACGCAACTGACATCTTGTGAAAAGCAATAGACTTAACGCGATAACCAATCAAATTATAACTTTACGAAATTTTTGGTATGCGTTGTCGCGTTTTGTATGTAAGAGCCACACCGTCAACGACCAATCTGATAATTCAAAGCGGTTTTGATTGAGTATAGCATTACGCATTATTTTCTAACATTGTAATGCGTTCTATTATACGCAAGAGAGCTACAATAGCAAACGAATATTCAAGGTATAATAAAAGTATTCGCGTTCACTTAATATACACGTGTATACAACAAAAATAAAAAGGAAAGAAAAAACAAATTACGAACGAACACGCGTTTTTCGCGAATAAAACTAGAGATTTCCGGCGCGGCAAGGACGACGGAAATTGACGGAAGCGCGACGGAAACGAGCGAACTCGCGTCGCCCCGGCGACATTGGGCGACATTTGTCAACGAGTATTGACTGGTGGACCTTTTTATCATCGAGCGATTTTCGCTGATTTGCGAGGTACGCATATTATTTGCGGCCGGTCCGGAAAATTTCACATCTGATTCATATCGAGCGACGTTCGACGTTACGTCCGTGTGCGCATTACACGCCATAATGACGCACGCACAATCGTAACGCAGCGCGATAAATCCGACGAATCGACAAACCTTCACCGGTGGGTCATATCGCTCCGCTGTGTCGGGCTTTAGTCGCGCCAGGGCGGGAATATGAAAGTGAAATTGCGAAGGCGATATTACGATATGTCGCACGAATTATATAGTGAAACTGCGAATTATTTTTTCTTTTTGCAGATTGACCCGACTAGCCTCAGAATTTGCGCGAGAAGATGCCGCCGACGATGCCGCCCGACTCCCATCAAATTTCACTAAAAATCATAGAGGCTATTAAGCAACACCCAGTGCTGTATTGTACCGAGGTGAAGGGCTTGTCGATTAAACTGCAAGAGTTTAAGCAGAAAGTTTGGAAGCGCATCTCAGACGAGCTTGGACTAGATCGTACGATCTCCCTTTTCTTTTTTTTCACAGGTTGCATAATGCTTTTATGTGTCATTGTTCTTAGATTATTAACGTTACTCATTTATTGCAGCAATGTGGGTGAGATTGAAATGGAAAAATCTTAGAGACACATATTGCCGTATCTTGAAATATAAGAATAAAACAGAAGAGGGTGTCAGAAGGAAAAAATGGATCTTTGAGGATTATTTAAACTTTTTAAAATTTCCGTAAGAATTTTTTTATAGCAACAAGAGACAGTTAAATATCTAAACTACAATGTCTTAACCAAGGATATTTTGATAGGTACGAGGTGGATTATCAGCCGCAATGTGTAGAACTGACTAAGGAATATATACAAGACATAAATTCGGGTGAAATAAGTTCTGAAGGTTTGCTGGAACAATTAGAGGACCGAAATGATGAGGACTATAGCGAATACTTGGAGATTATAGATGACACAGCAGCTGATCCAGTTCTTGTGGAATCCGAGGCGGTAGAAACTTTGGACAACAATGACGTGCAATTAGATACTCAGAATATAGTAGTTGAACAAGACATGACACAGCAGGACATTGATAGTTATGTCCAACAGATACAGTCAAAGTATCGAAAGATACGTCCAAAACGAATGAAGGTCGACCATCCTCCATCTACCTCGAAAGCATCCTATAATGTAATAAAAAACCCTTCCTTTAAAGCTAATAATGCAAGTGCACTTGATACTGGTTCAGTATTTAGCCCTATTTTCATAACCAGCCCGTTAACTAGTACACTTACCTCACCTATAAAAGGATCGAGCAATGTGAAAGATAATGACGCCGCCAATTTTGAACAAGTTTATTTGGCACCCGAGAGTAAGAGTAGTATAGAACTATTTTTCGACAGTATGGCGCAAACGGTGAAGAAGTTGCCGCCAAAGGCACAGGCGGATATCAAGATGAACATCTGCAAGATTGTTACAGAGACGGAAGTGCGGTATTCTGGCCAGAACAAACCACAAAGTACACAACAATTTATAGCACCGCCTGGCATGATACCTAAGCTAGTATTGATACCTTGTAACATGATAGATAATCAAAATGTTAAAGATTGATTCATTTTTGTTAATTGCAATGTGGGTAATGTTATCAGACTTGGCAAGTTAATTATGATTGTTTTAGTCGATAATTAGAAATTGCTCTAATTTTGTATGTATATAAATAATGATATTAAACACATGCTGTATATACATTCAATTATATACAATGTATGTACACTAACATTAGTATGATTATTTAGGTTAATTATTTCTTACAGCAAAAATTTATTCGCGTAAAAAATCTTAAGAATCGTTATATGAAAAAACGTTTTAAAAGCAAATGATATATTACTATCTAAAAACTCAATTTATATTAGAAATAAATACATTTTTTTTGCATATATGTATATATATTTATAATAAAATATTTATAATTCAAATCAATTATACAGATAAATATTATTTTTATAAAGTAGATTATTGTTATTGTATTATTTTTCATAGCTGTGTGAAAGAGGAATTTATCAGAGGAAGAAACTTGCGTAAAATCTCATTGTAAATATATCTGGAAAGATAAGAATTGCAATCATGATTGCACAATATACATTTTTTATTATTAGTAGAAGTTCAGTATATTTTTATTGATAAGTAATGTATGTTCCATCACACAGATTAAGGAAGATTTTAATATGTTTCAAATCAAGAATCACAAGTTGAGCAACTTAATAATAAGAGTGAAGAAGTAAGAAATCTATTATCAAAGTTATTCTTTTACACGATTTTTATATTTTCGATTTATATTTTTCTAAATGTTACTTTTTATTTCTCGGGTAAAAGCAAAAAAGAACTCAGTAAATCAGCTGTGTCTCGTATTGTTTCTATTTATGTGTATCGGTATAAACTCTCGGTAGGTGCATCATATGCATCAGAGTTTAGTTCAACTTTTATAGCGCGGTAATTATCTTGACAGATGTGTTAACTTGATTCCGTAGATTACTGATAAACAATAATAAAAATTTTTTCTGTTTTTTACCATCATTATCTTTCATATCGCTGATAAACAGTGATAAATGTTCTCTGGGATAGTAAAAGGCTAAGAGAATTGATTGAGAACGAATGAGATTTTTCATTCTCCGGTAACAAAGTCGAAAATTGCGGTCGAGAAAGATGTTGCGACATTTGAAATGCGGAAAAAGGCACACCGATCTTCTGAACCAGTGCTCGGCAGTTCAATTCATAAATTTTTCCAGAAAAAAGGTGCGGTACATACATATTAAAGGTTAGATAGCTAACAGATGATATTAAATTTATATGATTAAATCCATTGAATTGAATGTAATAGTTTATTTTTCCAGTAATCCCATCGAAATTTTGTTTTCTTCTAAAGCGAATGTGTGTGAATATAATAATTGTCACTGTAATAATAATTGTAATTAATACATAAAGGCTTCACGCATCTCTTTATTGTTTATCATGTGCACTTGCACACTTTTATTTTACGTTTTAAAATATTTTATATAATTTTCATTTATATATCTCTATGTTGCATTCTCTTTTTATATATTTATATATATAAAATGGAATAAGTATATATTCCTTTTGAAGAAAAAAAATTCTTTGGGGGAAGGAATAAAGAAAACTGGTCTAAAACATGCAGTATAAAAAGTAACAGAGACTCTTATCTTTTACTATAGTTTATAATAGTTGTATATAAAATTTACAGAGTTCAGAGATCAAAGATGATGATCAAGATAGAAAAAAATATAGAAAGTTTGTAGACACTACCACTCAGGGACAAAAAGCATTGAAAACTTTACAACAAGATTGGAAGGCATTGAAAAAATATCTGTCTAACAGAAAGTTTTCAGATTTTGAAAGTTTTCAGACGGGATATGAAATAATTCCTGACCAGTGCGATATACTCATTATTGGTGGTGGTGCAATAGGCAGTGCAATAGCATACTGGTTAAAGGAGACAGTGCATAAAGAAGAATTTCGTGTTGTTGTAGTTGAAAAAGATCCCTCGGTAAGATATTAATTTATGTGAATTTTCTAGTCTTGAAATAGTATTTTTTATTTCTTTTTTAGTCGATAATAGTTAAGAGTTTATAAATATATTGATTATAATTGTATGTATTGATTATATTGATTGTGTAATGTATTGATTATATTTTTATGTTACAGTATGCCAAAGCTTCCACAACTCTTTCGGTTGGTGGCTTGCGCCAACAATTTTCTCTTGAAGAAAATATTCAAATGTCTTTGTATGGTGCAGAATTCTTACGAAATATTAATGAACATTTGAGTATTCCCGGAGAAGCACCCATTGACTTGAATTTTCACCCCTATGGTTATTTAATTTTGGCGACCGAGGAGGGTGCTGAAACTTTAGTACAAAATTCTAAACTGCAGAACTCTTTAGGAGCGAAAAATGCAGTTCTTACTGCAGAGAAATTAAAGCGCACATTTCCTTGGTTAAATACTGACGGGATTGCGGCGGGTTGTCTTGGACTGGAAAAAGAAGGATGGTTTGATCCATGGTCCCTCTTGTGTGCTTTGAAAAAGAAGGCTAGTCATTTAGGTGCTCAGTACATCAACGCCGAAGTTAAGGCTTTTCAGTATAGTAAGATTCCAGCTAGTTATGACAAGTACATGAATCCTCTCCAAAGATTAAGTAGTGTAGTGGTAAGTGCATATTTATATTTACATTATATTACATATATATA